GTACCTCCATACGCGGCATGTCGGTTGCGCGTTTGTGGGTAGTGTACTTGCTATGAACAGCCAAACGTAAGGGCCGCTGGCACAATATCTCCTATGCTGCATTCATTCCCTCGAAGTTGATCACGGTCTGCGCCCCGTTGTTGAAAATTTCGTGCGGCTGAACGTGGCGCCAGTCGTTTCCTCCTGTCAATGCAGCTTTTTCGTCTCGATCCGTCTCTCCTGTACTTTGTAATGGATCGCTCGTTACCACACTATTAGTCATAGTAACGTCCCTTTCGTTGTGTGCCGCAGGACTGTCTGCTGTTTTCGTTGCGCGGGCGAGATTGGCGTATAGCTTCTGTGTGGGATATCGTTTCTCGGATCGATACGCATGCACAGGGTCTTCGAGGAACAAGAGTTAAGATAAGCTTTTGGCTTTTCTCCTTCTCTCTGTCGAGTTCAGAGTCGGGTCTGTCTGACAGTTCCCAACATACTCCTATGTGGTTCACCGTCGGGATTCTATCTCTCGTTATCGTGGCTCAGGGTGTGGTCAGAGGCTCGAGCCAGGTGACTGGAGTTGGTGACATCGAGCGAGCCTTTCGGGAGTTCATAAGAATGTGGGATGCACCGTCAGATTGATAGCGTTAGTTGGCGTACAGCCACGCAGGTCCCCCTCTATTCCAATCTCACAGGTACAACAAGAAGTATGGTTCGAAGGAACAGTACGAGGTTGCGAAGGCTGCGTTCATGCACAGTTTGAGGGAGATAAACGATCTGAAAGCCCATGGTGAATGATGTCGCGGGGCGACAGTCGCATCCACGATGCGAACCATTATGCTCTACTGTTGTGGAATTCAGGCGATATATCTCATGAGATCGGCCTCAATGAGCATGCTGATATACCACGTGAAGTATTCAATGAAGTGTTTACGTGTGTTCCGGATCCTGAACCCGAGGAGGAACAAACATTCTCGAATATCAATGGGTCAACCTGTGAGGCTACTCTCTTATCGCTTCACGCAGAGGATAACCTTCCCAGACCTAGAAGACAACTTGAAGGCTCCTCCTGCGTCGGTGGATTGGGAGGCTCTAGGCGCGTTGGGGCCAGTGCGAGATCAAACAGAACATTGTGGTAGCTGCTACGCGATAGCACCCGCTGGTGAGTCTCCAGTTGGATCGAATATTTCGGCGTGAAACATCACTCGTGCCCGTCTTTGTTCATTGCCTTGGCTGCTCCTCTTCAGTCGTGCTGGAAAGCCGTTTCAAAATACACGCTGGGATTCCCAAAGTCGTCCCATTCTCAGTTCAACAGATAGTCGACTGTAGTCAGCCATATGGCAATAAGTGAGTCGACGACGATACTTTTGTCTGAGCGTGGATCCTCGATAAGGAATCCATCTTGTACGTGTTCTCATAGTCATTGCGACTCAATGTACTTCAGAGGTTGCATTGGAGGTTCACGGAGGCAATCATATAAATATGTCATGGGGAATGGTATCGTTAAGCAGGCCAGCTACCCTTATGAGGCTAAGGTGGGATCGTGCAAGACATCAATCACCACTGATGCGAAGCAGCAGTGTCTGAAAGTGAGGCAGCTGTCGTGAGCGAATACCTGAGGTTTTCATGCAATGCAAGTTCCTGTGCCACATGAATGTATCATATTAATGCTCTTCGTCGAGGAGATATCGCCTGGAGAGACTTCGTCCAAAAGGCGCGTGAAAGAATCGAAGTGATGAAGTCGAGCAATCTAGCAGATGTGGTTTGACCTCAACCGTTCGAGCCTTTCTGATTTTTCTCAGCCTGGGCAATTCCGTCAAGCAGTGAACATACCGCCAGCTGATGAAGAAGCTATGATAAAGAATGTGGCAATCGGGCCCGTGGTGGCCAGAATGTCTGCTTTGGCTCCCGGATTCAGACATTACAGCGGAGGCATCATAACGGGTGGGAACTTACTCGATGTTGTCGAGCA